TGTAACCAGTGCAATAAGTCATTACAAAAAAATAAAGTGAATAAAGATTGGAAAAAAAGTAAAAACATATTCATGTACATATGATGATATGAATGTAAATAATTCTAGGAAATCCACATGTACACAGAAAAAGCTACTAGAACTAGTAAGTGAGTTTAGTGAGGTTACAAAGAACAAGGTCACAATTTAAAACCAGTTGTATTTCTATATACCAGTAACACTTAACAATTTTTAGAAATTTTACAATAGAACCAATAAATATGAAAAGCTGAGATAGATTTATAAACAAGATCTATACAGTACTATATAATATTGCTGAGAAAAAGAGACAAAAGCTATATCACATCATGTTTGTATGTCGGAAGAGTCAAAACTGTACAATGTCAGTTCTTCCCAAATTGGTATGTATTCAGTGTAATTCCTATCAAAATCTTAGCTAGCTTTTTTATAGAAATTGATAAATTTATTCCAGAATTTCTATGGAAATGTGAGGGATCTAGAATAGCTGAAGTTATTTTGAAAAATAAGATTGGAAGACTGATTTCAAAACTTATGTTGAAGCTGTAATAATCAAATAATTATGGTTTTGATATAAGAATGAATGAATGAATAAATGGATAAATAAATAAATCAAAACAGGGAGACAAGAAATAGACCTATATATGCTGAGATAATTGATTTTTGACAAAGGTATTGTGGTAATTCAGTGGGAAAATGGTATCTTTTCAGTCAGTGGTGTTGAAACAAAAGGATATCCACATGAAAGAAAATGAAACTCATCTGTTACCTCAAACTATTTATAAAAATTAACCCAAATTGTACAACTAAAGGTAAGCACATATCCTATAAGAAAACATAGGAGGAAATCTTTGTGATCTTGGGACAGAGATTTCAAATCAAGAAGAAAATAAATCAGACTTCATCAAAATTTTTTAAAGTTTTCAGTACAGAGCATACTGTTAAAAATGAAAGTATGAACCGCATGCAGAGAAAATATTGGCAAAAGATCTGATAAAAGGCTTATTTCCTAAAATATGTAAAGAATTCTTATAATTTAATAATAAAACAAGGTACTTGATTTGTTTAAAACGGATAAAAGAATTAAATAGACACTGCATCCTAGATGATACATAGATGGTAAATAATCACATGAAAATATGCTTCATATTTTTGGCCATTAGGAAAATACAAATTAAACCTTGAAGAGATACCACTACACACCTATTAAAATAGCTAAAATTAAAAACATTGACAATACTAAGTTCTGGCAAGGATTAAAAAGGATATTCCAACTCTTAAAATGGTACAGCCAGTCTAGAAAACATTTTGGCAGTTTCTTATAACACATGGGTGTTAAGGTAGAGCCATACTTGGGCCACCATGAAAGATTTACAAGCCTGGCAGAAGAGTTTGGTCATTATGTTGTAATGGGCAGAACACAGCTAAGATTTTTAAGCCAGGGGCAGTGCTTCATGCCTGTAATCTTAGCTACTTAGGACACTAACATGGAGAGGATTGCAATATGAGGCTAGCCTGGGCAAAAAGTTCGCGAAACCCCCATTTCAACCAGTAGCTGGATGCAAAGGTCACGCTTGTCATTCCAGCTATACAGGAGGCTGAGATTGGGAGGATCATAGTTGTATGCCAGTCTGAGGGGAAAAAAGTTCAGGAGACCTCATCTCAGCAGAAAAAGGTGGGTATGGTGGCATACGCCTATCATGTCAGTTACAGTGAGAAGTGTAATATAGGAGGATCATGGTCCAAAAAGTGTGAACCTATCTCAAAACAACCAAAGCAAAAATGACTGGAGGTGTGGCTCAAGCCTGCCTAGCAAACTTCATGAAAACCTGAGTTCAAACCCCAGTACTGCCAAAGAACAAAGCTAAGAATTTTGAACAGGAGAATAATATGATATAAGGAGATAATTTTCTTTTAAATTTTTGTCACTATGTAGAAGATGTAAATGTTTCCAGTGTTTTGAATAATTCAGAACTTTTTTTTGAGCCATGTATAATCTAAACTCTAAAGGACAGCCAGTTCTGTAGCACATTGTACCTTTCAATCTCATTTTTCCTGTGTTGTTTAAATGGAGCATTTGTGAGCGATTCCAAGGTTCTATGAAATAGAAAAGTTGGCCATGACAGTTCAAAAGAATGTAGGTTAAATTTGGGAAGTAATTGAGGATAATGCAAAATTGAGATTGCAGGGCTCACTCTTAATTGCAGTAATAAAAATAAAGGTAAATTATGTAACAGTTCAGAATAAAACATGCATAAGTATTCAGATTCTTGCAAGTTTATAAATTGCCTGGTATGTTTGTAACTACAATGCTATTATGTAGCCAAAGCACAGGGGACTCCAGTTTGTGTATTTACAGACTGATTCCCCAACAGATAACTGCACTATTCTGGAATGCAATTGCTATGTCAATAGTTGTAGTCTTGTGTTTTAGAATTTTTCCGTCTTTCAGCCTAATTAGCTTAGAATGTCTCTAACGTGATTTACAAAGAATTTCATATTTATATTTTGCAATCAGCATTTGACTGGTGCACAGGTTTTAGACAGGCACTATAATGTGTAAACATTTTGAAGATAATAAATAGCTCTTTCTAGTCTAAATGTTTTATGATTGCCTAGTCCCTGCTAATTGCTCATGGATTGAAATCCCCCTTGTTTAATTTTTTAATTTGTGGGAAATTATAAATGAGTAGTTGGGCTTCGTATCACAGCTGTTGTCATTTAAAGTTTGGACAGCATCATTACAAATGAAGCCCTGATGTGAAATCAAAGTCAGAAAGCATCTTGGCATCCCAACCATTTCCTTGGGAGAAGATTACAGCTCATGTCTGCTGAACTTTATTGCCTTGGGCCTCATGACAGTCTTCAGAAACATGCAAGGCATTTCTGTTAAGGAAATTCAGATGTGCTAGACACAGACGACATGCTTGCACGTAACAGTATTTTAAGGGGTAAAGACTTAAGTCAGGGGAAAAGAGATTCACACTTTTTGCTGTGTTCTGGGATTGTTTTATAAAATCTGTGGAGATGTTGGGGACCATCAATGATACCATGTAGGGAAAAGATGTGTGTGGTTTTTTTTGTTTGTTTGTTGTTTTCCTGCGTGACCTAATTATATTTTAAAATAAAAACCGAAACATAACTCTGAAGTAATAACTGCCTTGTCTTCTTTCCTTCCCTCTTTCTTTTCTTTCTTCCTTTCTTTTTTTCATGCTAGACAAGCACCAAAGTCACCTTTCAGTTGATTTTTATCATTCTCTGAAGGGAGTTCTCATTGATTCATATTTCTTTTCCCCCTTTCTCCTCCTGTATCTAACACATGTGCCTAAGGGAGAGACATTACTCAAGTAGTTCTAATAGTCATTCTTTTTATATCTAAAACTTGTGTTTTTTTAATTTAAAGCCAAAGATCACTCGGTCCAACTTGAGATTTATACAAGTAACTAGATTCCAACAAAGGTACTCGCAAAGACATCATGAAAGAACATGGTTGTCCCTCATATTTAAGGATGTGTCCATTTAGCCTTTATCTCAGCCCTTTAAAATGTATTCTTGTTTGTTATTTATTTTTCTTTTTTCCTTTTTTTATTACTCACTTATTCACATGTGCATATATTGTTTGGGTCATTTCTCCCCTCTGCCCCCAATCTTTATTTTTCTTCTTGGGATAGTTTCCTAGCTTCATTAGCTACAACATGCCTGGCACATAGTAGGTACTCAAGAAACATTTGTTTAATGAGTGAATTTTGTTATTCATAGTAGTATCATTCTATTTAATTTCAAGTTATTCTAGAAATATCATTTCTACAATCTTTTGACTTTGTGACATTCTGGAAGGATACTCATTCAGCAGCTTGCCATAAATATTGATACTGCTTTTTACTCACTGCAGTAAAACTACTGTCAAGCCAGGCACAGTGATACATATCTATAGCCCCAGGTACTCTAGAGGATGAGGCAGGAAGAACACTTGAGCCCAGAAGTTTGAGGCCAGCTTGGGCACCATAACAGTACCCTCATCTCCAATCAAATAAATAAATACTGTCAAATTTTTATATAGTCTAATGAGACAGACAAGGAAGTAGATAATTACCATACTCTGTGATATGCTAAACATTTCCTAAACTTAGTCATAATAACATTTTGAGTATTGTACCACACACAGTTTTAAGTATTTTCTAACCCAACTGCATTGTGACAACTGAATCTCTATCGTAGTAATCCTTTGACATTTATTGATACTTAGTTTATGGTCTGGGATGCAGTCAGTATTTTTCTAAATTTGTGCATATAGTTGGGGGAAGTATTGTAGTGTCCATTAAATCAAGCATATTCTGCATACAGTTTTATTTATAAATAGATAGTTATCCAGTAGCTCTGTCTTTTGAAATATTTCTTTAAAACTTCTGTAAGATTACTGAATTTCCTATCTATTTGGCCTATCAGTTACTGAAAGAGAGATGGTAAAATTTTCAGTACCATTGTGAATATATCTTTTTGTGTCTGTTAATTTTGCTTTGTATATTTTGAGGCTATTTTTAAATTTATATACATTTAAAATTATATATTTCTCAAAAATTGAGCTATTTACCATTTTGTATGCTTCTTTTTTATCTCTAAAAATGCTTTTTCACTTAAAAATTATTTGTCTGATACACAACCAGGTGTGGTGGTGCACACTTGGAATTTCAGGATTCGGGAGGCTAAGGCAGGAAAATCAAAAGGCCAGCCTCAGCTATATAGCATAACCTTATCTCAAAATATATTTTTCCCCAAATGTGTTTTTACCTCATTTCCAAAAGAATGTTCTTCAGAGACAATAGTTTTTCCCAAACTAACTATGCCTTACTGACAATTTGGAATAAGAATAAAAACCTTGCAGGACAATAAACAGTGTATCTCAGATTTTGAGTTGCACTTGCATATATTTGTGATTTCTGGTAAATATCCAAGTAATGTTCACTGTGTTTGTTTTGCTTAAGGACTGTTCAAGTTTAGAAGAATATAACATTGCTGCAGCATTACTCCCTCTCACCAGTGCTTTCTATAGGGTAAGTTTCATTGGTGTCTATATAAGTTTGTTATGATTTATATTCATGTATTCAGTTTGATTTCTCATGGAATTGCTTGAATCCTGTCCTCTCGATATACTGAAGATGTACATGTAACTATATTTAGTATAACATTTGTTGCATGCTAAGTGTAGGAAATTTAGTATTAAACACTAAGTCATCTCCTAATAAAGCACCTACACTCATTCCACCCTGCTTTATTTTATTTATAACACCTGAAATTATGTTACATATTGATTTGTCTACATATATTCCCCCCTACCACAGAAAGCAAATTCCATAAAGCTGGGATATTATCTTTCTTCTTTGCTGCTATATCTCAGTGCTGCACAGTAAATATTTATTGAATAAGCAAATGAAAGAATGTCAGTGGTGGCAGACATTAGAGTTATAATGTCATTAACAACTTCTGTGAGCTTTCTGAGAATATTCTAGACTGTTCAAAGTGATTTTTTAGATTCTGCCTTTGTCATAAATATATTAGCTCTTATGGCAAACAAATCTAGCAAATTGTCTTTTGTTGCTTTTCCTGTAAGGAATTAGATAGCCATACTCTGAACAATGCATCTAATACATCCTTCTGAAATGTGCAATAGGAAATAATAAACCTGTAGCAACAGGCTGACTCATTGGTTAGCCATGTACACAGTAAGTTAACAAGTTTGGCAAAATGCCATGCTGTTTCTCTTCATTGTCAAACTTGTGCTGTAGGGGTGGGTTTCTGGACTTGATTCTTTGTTTGTGTCTTGTTTTGGTTTTTTTTTAAGGGTGTGGTTGGTTTGGTTTGGTTGAGGGGTTAAATCATCACAGTCCAAATGAGCCAGAAATTATACTAATAATTTGAACAGGGAGGCTTTATAATATGGAATTAAGTAGTAATAGTTAACTACTAAGAGGTAAAAAGAATTCTAAAAAATGAAGGAATGAAGACAGGGAGCAGCTGCTACCTTCAGGGCTCAAAGTACTCAAGACAGGAATAACTTGGAAAAAGGCCCCTCCTCAGATGTAAACTGATTCAGATCTTGGAAAGGTCTTGCTGTGGCCACTGATGGCATAGGAGTTCACTGAGGTGCCACAGCTCAGGACTGACAAGCAGGAAACTGCCTGCTGGAGTGCTGGCAAGACCAACTGGGAAGCCACCCACTAGGGTACCACTGGAGCATCTAGGGTGCCCCATGAAACCATCAGCTGGAGTACTACTGAAAGTCTATAGATAGGGAGCACTTCTAGGTGTCCTACACACAAGAACAAAAAAGGAAAACACATACCAGAACCAGAAAGAGAAATCATTTCCTATTGCAGTATCCCTGCATCACCTTTCATTGACAAAGTATAACATTTTACCTGCTGGCAAAATGTTTGTAAGGCTCATTTCCAGTTTCATAATGTAGGACAAAGGGGGACAGATTTGGAGGAAAGCTTTACTTCATTGATAATTAATATAGAGGGTTAGGAAGGGTAGATCACATTGATTCTTGGATAATTTCTAAGTCTGTCTTATAGGAAATTATCTCTGGTACATAGCAGATTTCTTAATTCAAGAAGTAGAGGAAAATTGCATTAGGAATATTGAAGATGAGTCACTCTCATATTTTCCAGCCATTGTAAAGTCCTGGGTCTTGCTCAGCAGTGCCTTAGGGAATGGACTCAGCTGCTTGTTTCTTTAAAAAATATATATATATATATTTGTCAGTACTGAAGTTTAAACTCAGGGACTCACACTTGCTAAGCGGGCTCTCTATTCTTCTAGCCCTGCTTGTTATTTTTTAATATTTTAAAAATATTTTTAATAAATAATAATTTTTTTAGCGAAAGTTTATTAAGCATCTCAACATACAGAGTTACTCTCCCAGGCAACATCATGGGCAGCAAAACTAATAAAATACTGATATGGCCCCTATGAACTTAATAGTCTTACTAATGTAGCAAGCTAGTTTTAAAATGAAACTGGTCCAGAGTGCCAGAATGCCAAATGGACATTTTTTTTAATAAAAGTAATACATATTTAAAAATTCAGATACCATAGAAAGATAAGAAATTTGAAATAAATGTTTACTTGCCTAACTCTACCCCATTTCCCCCAAACGGTTGGTTTCCTTGAGGCAGAGGAAAGAGTGATACATTATTTCTAGCATATACAGACTTTTTTTTTTCTTTTAAGGAAAGGAATAAAATCATTCATACCATTTTCTCTCTTTGCCTTTTTCACATAGTATGTCTTGGTGATCCTTCCATAATAGCACATATACCTAATTATTTTTAATAACTATATATATTTTTTCTTTTTAATGAAAAGAACGTATATATGTACTTGTTTTCATAAGAGCAGAGTACTTCATTGTGCCAGACAAATGTGATGTTTATCTTTTTAGAACTTTATTCACTGTAAAAGCCAAGATTTTCCACTTATAACATTACCTGTCTTAGGTCTTAGGAATTACGAATACAACAGCCACCACACATTTAGGGGGTTTTTCCCCCCTAGATTGAACATTTACAGTTCCTTCTCACTTTCGTCTAGTTTCAATAATTTACATGTAGTTCATGCTAGTTTAACTCTTAAGAAGCCTTTCTTGGATGTACCTTAATAGTATAAACAGTTTAGACAGTTAAGATTACTTTCACTATGAAAAGTAATGTAGTCACATTTATATTAAGCTTATTGTTATATGGCTTTTTCATTTTCAATTCAGCCAACATTTATTAGATGTGATGCATAGTCACAGATGAGTAACTAATGGTTCTTACCCTCAAGAAACATATTAAATATCTATTAATCAGCTGTTGACAGTTGAAGATCATCTCAAAGTTAATGAATAACTTAAGATTACTCATGTTTCCTTGGGTTCTTTTTATGACAAAAAAATTCTTAAATTAAATGCCAGCATATATATTGCATCTAAAGCAGAAATTCTTTTCTAAATGCTACTTTTTAGAACAAAAAAAATTGTGGAGTAAAATATACCCAATAGAATGAAATTAAACCAAAACAAGATACACTTGTATTATTCCTTCCAAACAATAGCAGTGAGCAATAATGAAGACCATGGGTACCTTCACCATAAACCAACAGTTAATGCCTTCTCCTCAGTGACTCATGTATGTAGATCACCTTGTTGTAGTTCTTAATAACACAGATAACCTAAAGAGTTTCTCGGAATTTATCAAAATGTCACAAATTCCTCCTGTTACTTTTTTTGAGGCACATCTTTTAGTTATTGCTACTCAAAATGATTCCACGGAGAGCTAACACATTCTTCCGCTATTGTTTATGTTTACCCTGGGAGGAAAAATAAATATGCTCTTTACCTTAAAAACCAAGCACCTATTAGAGATAAGGGCAGAACAGTTTCTGCCTGGAAGCGAGGGGCTAGTGAGGGAGAGGGAAGGGGTAGAGGGAAAAGGGAGGGGACAGGGGGTAGAGGGGAGAAATTGACCCAAACATTGTATGTATATATGAATAAATGAAAAAAAACTAATTTAATTTAAAAGAAAACAAGCACCTAAAAAGTAAAGATCCCCAAACTTCCAAAGGTCTCCCACATGCACATGGCACTTTGAAAATGTGTTATTGATTGATTAAAGTAAGTACTACTTCAGAATAAGGGCATTATTCAGAGGACTAGTCTCCACAGAAATAGCTTACTCTTCAAAATTCTAACTTTACTGAGCATATAAAAACTTCTTTTCTCATATCCAGACATTCAAATATTTATTAATAGGTTTATTGAGGTATAATTTATCTACCATAAAATTCACCCATGTTAAGTGTACATGTCAGTGATTTTGTATATTTGCAGAATTGTGAATAAGCCATGTCATTAACATAAACCAACAAGTTTGTCTTTTCACAGTGTTGGAATTTTTTTAATAGATCCACAAGCTCCATCAGTTTCATCAGCTTTACTTCACCATGTATTTCTGATTTCACTTGGCAGTCACAGGTGGTTCTTTATTCTATGTAGTCCTAAATACTAATATCTATAACATTCAAATCACACTTAAAACAGAATTGAAAAAAAGTAAAGAGGCCACAAGAATACAAGTAGTCAAAATAAAGAGTCAATATAGATGTAAAATAGTCACTTCAGTTGCTCATGTTCACTACAGGTGGTCATTTATCAGGTTATAAACCAATGGCAAGACTTTCAAAGCCAAAGGATAAACAACACTTTCAAAATGAGCAGTGTCATTCTGCAGTGTCACTGTGCTGAAAGCACAATTGACGAAGTTTGAAGTTGAAGTATAAAGATAAACAGATGTTCATCACTTGAACCCGAAGGCAGAGATCATGATGTGTACACTGGGTAGTCCATGACAAGGTGACAGGTTGATGTGCAATACCACAATCTTAGATATACCTCCTTTAATATGTTTTAAGTGATAGGGTGGCATCACTCATTGGTCTAGTGTTTTTGACAAGTCCACATGCCTGACGTCTTTGATATTTTCCAATAAGTATGTTTAAACACATTTAAATCAGTACATTCATAGGTGGTAATAAGTTATCATTTTGTGCCTTGTGATTGCAGATACTGATTATTATTCTCAGTAAGTTCTGTGTGCCCACCATCTGTCAGTTAGCTACTTGCACTGATAAATAAAGCTGCTACTCTATACAAAATGGAGTAACTCAGGGTAGGGCACATCCTGCCCTCTGTAAGAATGCTACAGCAATCACTACCATCTAATTTTATAACATTTCTGTCAACCCACCACGACTTCCCATACCCATTTATATTCACGTCCACTTCCAGGCAACAATGAATCTACTTTCTATCCCCATAGATTTCCTTTTTGGGGCATTATATACAAGTGAAATCACATATATTATATACAAGTGAAATCACATATATTATTCTTTTGTGTCTGGCTTCTTTCACTGAGCATTATAGTTCTGAGGTTCACCCACGTTGTTAGGCAATTTCTATAATGTTAATTATTAAGAATTTTCCAGCTTTAAACTAAAGACACGGATC